ACATCTCAACAGCGAGCATGCGCTGGACGATAGAAGTACAGCTCAATGTAGAGTACAAATGCAGGTTGTACAGCAGTTAGAGCTACAGGTAAAGCCACATTTATTTTTAATATTACCTCAGTATTCCTCGAACCCCACATTTCTGTAGTGTTCTGCAATGAGTTCCTGTGTACTCATTATTGAATGGAAGGTCCAAAACTGGTTGTTGTCCTTTTCTTCTCTCGTCTCTTTTCACTCTCCGGGAAAGTCCACCTTCAGCTCCTTCTTTGGAGCTGCTGCTGAGACGTTTCAAAGTTCTGTGCATCTCTGTGTCTGCCTCGAGCTCCCCGCCACCTCGTGAGCTTTCCATCTCCCCCCACCCCCGTCCTCGCTTCCCCCCTCCCCCGTGTCTTCTGCAAATGGAAAACGTTCTAAGTTAAAAACTTAATCTGTTGTTAATGTAAGGCCCCTGAGTTGCCGGTATCGCTAACCTGGAGTTAGGGAGCCGAGCCAGGGAGAGAGATTGAGAGCACGGATGGGGATAGAAAGCACATGTGAGTGTCAGCAGCAAGTACGCACGCGCGCACACACACACACACGCATACACATGCATACACACGTCCACACGCGCACACACGAGCATGCTGTCGGGAGTTAACATAGAAGCTGCGTGTGGATTTATTCCTCATGTTAACGTGTCCCCGTTTCTCTCCATCACTGAGAACACCCGAGAGTTCAGTGCACATGTTTTAAATATGCACACACACACACACACACACAAAAACATGTATTCAGATCTCTAATATATATAGTATGTACACATATATCTTATATACATATATATGTAGGTTTTTATATATGTATACATATAAAAATCTTGTGTTTGGCAATCCTTTGGGCCATGTTGAATGTGTTTCGTGACTATAGAAAATAAACTTGTGGATATTTTCCTGTGGATCACAGTTGTGAGGGATGGGGGGCATTTTTTAATGTGAGTTCCACTTCCTGATGTCACTTGTTGATGAACCACCATATTTTAACAATAATTCCATTCTTGGTATAATTAATAGAAAATGAGTTTCTAAAAGTAAAAATTGGGTCAGAAATGGAGATTATTAAAATGTACAATTGCAAAAGCCTGACCCTACAAACCCCATTTATGCAACCGAGTTCCAAAATGCTTTTGAGTGCTTGATGACTCAGAGTGGCTTCTTCCTCTGGCTGGTTTAGTGTAGGCAAGAGGTTAGCCGACTAGGGGAAATTAAAACAATGTTGTACATTATATTGTTACCAGCCATCGAAAAGCCTATTTTGTATGCAAGACAGCAATGCCGAGATATATGGAGAGCCCTAGGCTAAGTACAGAAGATAATTACATTTGGAATTTTACTGAGTTAAGTCATTTACAGCTTCAAATAGTTGCAGAGAAAAATCAGCCAAAACACACTTAAACTTTTTGTTGTGACTTTTCAGGATAGAAAGGATTTTTTTTAGTTATCATCTTATATGACAAATTACATTTTGTTTAGTAAGATTGTCTCAAAAGTTATTTTCTTTAGCTAGTTAATATTTTTCCATTCAGACTACAGAGATGAACTTATTAGAACAGTAAGATATTCATACAGGCAAAGGGCACATCATAAAATCCCCAAATTTTTACGTAAGTCTTTGGAAACACCTTTAAATTTAGCATGTTTCTTCAGAAGGAAAACAGTAGCTTTATTTATCTCCTCCCCCGCCCCGAAAGTTCACTTCTGATTGATGTGTAGTAAGCCCTTGAAAAATTGGTTTCAGAAGAACAAACTTTATGGCTCTTGCTACTGAAAATCTTTACGTATTGGTGGTTATAAAGTGATATAAGTCCCTGCATTTATTTAGTTGATAAACTTAAATTCTCAGCATTTAGTTAGAATAAAGTGTTTCGCAGAGTGTCATGGTTTGCCCAAGTAGGTGTCCCAGATTCCAGATTGGAGAGCGTGGGGCCATTGTTCATTACTGAGGAGCTGATTATCGACTTCATTCATTGCTCCTCACTCTCCCCAAGAGTTGGCAAGAGAAGGAAAGGAGTTAGACCATCAGTAAGTCAAGTCGTTCTCCCCTGGCAGCTTTGATGTTGTTTTTTGGTGGGTGTGGCCTGGGAGCTTTGCAGACCATTAGAAGGATTCTTTGATTTTTCATGGATTTTATTTATTCATAGATCCCCTTCATCCTTCAGCCCTAAATCAAACTGAAGGCAGGGTTTTCAACTTGTGATAGGACTCAAAGAAGATCATCTGGCCAGAAGTTACTATGGGGTAGTTGCCTGTGGTATTCCTTGTGATATTTTTGCTTGAGAGTTTGCTTTAACGAAAGAAGGGGCAGACTCATTCTGAAGGTTTTGGTTTCTTCAAAGGCTGAGGGAATTGTTAAAGTGATGGCGTAATGCTTGTCAAAAGCAGGAGTTGCCACACTGCAGATCAGGAGCCCAATCCCAAGAGCTAAGAAAGGTTTTTATGTTTTGAACAGTGTGGGGGAGGGGGAGGGATCAAAGGAAGAATAGAGCATGTGAAATTCAGATTCCAGTGTCCATATATAAGGTTGTATTGGAACATGGCCACGCCCATTCATTGATGTGTCATCTCTGGCCATAGTTGCTTGGCATTACAGTAGAAAAGTTCAAGTAGTTGCACCAGAGTCCCTTATGGCCTGCCAAGCTGAAAATATTTACTATCGGGCTGGCTCCTACAGAAGTTTGCCAAACAACCCCTGCTCCAGAGGATTCAAAAAAACCCATTTGCATCACATTATATAATTCCCCTTAGGCTCCTGGCTACCTAAAGGTCTGCGAACCCCTTCTTCCCTCTTCCTTCCTCGCCTTGGTGTATAAAACCATTCTAGTCACCACATTGGTCGGGTTTCCCCCACAGCGGCTTCACCTAACAAGTACTTGTCCATCACGGGGATCATGGAAAGCGGGCTGATGGATATTCATTCATTCATCCGTTTATCTTACCAGTTCATTTAGCACACATCACCCAGAGCCTGTATAACATAGCAGGAACCTTGCTGAAACCAGTAAAGGGTTTCAAGAGTGAGCAAAATGGTTAAGGTTGCCTTCCTGGTTCTTATGTGTTAAAGGGAAAACAGACTATAGATAAGTAATTTTCCAGTGGCACTGTCCCCTCCTTGGGTAGTGCTGGCTGATACTGACGGGTTCTTGAAAACACTAGAAACATGCTCAAAAGAGTTTCAGTACTAGAGAGGGGCCAGACCCAATTTTATCCATTAGTTATTATTCAGGCAGATGAAATATACCAGAAAATGTTAACAATGTTTAGTTGTTGAAGAACCCTCACCCTGAGCCAGAGCTGAGGGGTCAGGATTAGACGGAGATTCTTTGGGTTGCAGATCTGGCACGTTGTGGGGCAGTCTAGGACAAGGTACACTTAGACCCACCAGCTGTCCTCACTGCGGGCTTCCTCTTCCTCTCGGGTCAACATTTTCATGTTTGTGCTGTCACATTTGCCATGTCTTTTACCCATGTCTAGAAATGTACTTTTTAATTGACTTAACGAACAGTCGCTGTGCCCATAGGACCTGAGGTGTTGGGGGAACCAGGTCCCTGCAGCAGCCAAGAATACTTTGAAGAGGTGTTCTTATGCTTGAACAGCCTCTCTCTTATTTCCCCTTGGCATCATCCCCCCATTCCCTCCACAGCACACTGACAAATCACCTCCTCCATTGGGGACGCCCTGGGCATGACCAGCCCCACAGCTACTTCTCTTTGCCTTCAAGAAGGCATTTCCCCAGACCAGGAAGTACCTCTACCTCCAAGTATATTACAGAATTCCTATTCATTAACTTGAATTTGAAAAACATTTGCACAAGTTAGCACTACAGAAAAGAGCCGTCAAAGTTGGAACGATTCCCCAAGGCTGATCCCTGTATTGTTGGAGGATCAGTCTCCCCCTACCACCCGGATTTGCCAGGCCTTTCTCTGCACAGCAGGACTTAGACCTCTGGTGTTTACATCTGGGAGCAAAGGCACATGTGTGCCCCCATTAGAAAACTAACCCCAATAAGCTTAAATCTGTGTCATAGATCAATGGAGGTTCATTATGTCTGCCCTAGAGCATCATCGCGAAATGTTCCACAGGAGAGTTCTGCAGGGCATTGTCAGCCAGCGCCAGGCATGACCATCATGAATGGAAGCCACTTGAGTGCTGCCCATTTCTAGCCCCCCAGATCTATACCGCAGAACCCTTCCCTCTGATCCAAACATAAGGCTCTTGTGTTTCTTACCTCTAATGAACCCCTCCTGAAGATTAGGGGGAAAAAAATTTAATAACCATTGTTAGCCTCGGGGGATCCTGGCTAGAGATGTTTCCTTTCTTGGTGCTGCCTGTGCAATGCTGTACTTGAATCACGTGAAAAGCCTTCACGATTCCAGTGTTGAGAGGTAAGGCAACCAGGCAGAAATCAAGATCATGGGCTACAGTCTGACTTAGGCCTGTCCCGTCAGCATTGTGGGAGAGATGCATTTGTATTGTTGTTCTTTTTGTGGGAAGTTATCACAATATATAATGCATGTTTTCCTAGCAGTGAACTCGTTATGTGGAGCTTGTGAACAGAGTGGTTAATTCAGTTCTCATGTTGCTCCCTGTTACTGGTCTCAGAGGGAAGAGGGGTCAAGAAGACATCTTAGTGGGCATTCTGAGCCTTTCGCAATATTTCCAGCCACATTGCACTATTACAAAGACAGTTGCAATTTTTTGACATTTTAGCAGTGGACTCGGTGGTGATTAACCCCATCTGTTACCCGGGAGCCCAGCATTGTAGAGAATTTGTGTGAGCTGCTTGTGCTGTACGTATATGCACCTAACATCAAGATAGATGGACACCATGGTAATCATTTGGGTGAAGGGCATGGCTTTTTGAGGTGAGGGAATGTAATTTAAGATTGTATCTGTTAGATGCTTGCTTTCGACAGATTCTTCTGGATGCTATGCAGACAAGAGGCTAGGTCAGAACTGGAGGGGAATGATGTTCCCACAATCAAAATGCACGGTCTTACTGTACAGGTCATGAAGTATGCACACGCGCACGCACACACGCACACACACACACACA